CAACCTGCGCATGAAGCGTTGCCCTGTTCTCATATCAGTTTGTTGAGCTGGGGCGCGAGGGATATACGCGGTCTACATGGGGTCAATCCAGCAATAGAAAGCCGGCCTCACGAAAGCGGGCATGGTGAATCAAGACGTTTTAGAAGGACGGCACGTCTTAAAGTGTCGTCCAGTGAGTAGCGTGTGGATGTTCGACACCCTTAACACATTCAAGAAGCACGGTGCCTTCAAGGTAGCCAGAGCCAAGATCACACCCGGAAAGCCAATACGAAGTCGTCCCTGCCTGTCTTCACGTGAGCCGAACTTGCAAATTCAAGCAAAGCTGCATGGGTTGCCGTTGTGGCTGTGCTTGCAGCGGCTGGCTCAGACAGGGCAAAGAGGGCCGAACAGAGTCGCCTGGTTACCGATGCATCAATATGGCACTGTTCTGGGTATGGATTAGGGCCTTCATCCTGCCATTCCTGCAGCATGCTGTGGCAGAGCTTGTCGCAGGAGATTGTGCCGTGATTCAGCTGTGTCACGACGACAGCGACAGCTTCAAAATCCTGCTTTTCGAGGACCTGCTTGCTGGTGACAGCTTCTTCGTTACGGACAACGGGGTGAAGAGCGATGGGACCTTCGCTCTTCTGGGTGAAGGCGTCCTGCGGTACACAGCTTCCAGCGCGGTGCCTGCAGGCACTGTGCTTTCATACACAGGCGTTGGCGGTGACTGGACTAACGAGTCGGGCTCTTTGAACTTCCCTGGAGCTGGAGATCAGGCCATCGTTTTCAATGGCACCGTCGACTCTCCAACCTTCTTGTGCGCTCTGCAGACAGTTCACGACTTTTGGTTCAGCGACGCTACGTCACCACTTGCTTCAGCCCTTCCACCAGGCTTAACTGCGGGCTCTTCAAACGCCATTGCAGCTGGCTGTGGCAGATCGTGTTCCCCCGATGGGTTTGATGCTTGGCTTGACTTAGAGTGATGACGTGGGTGCTGTGATAGCATCCATGAAGCCTCCTGGACCCTCCTGCCAGTGGAGGTAGCACCGCAACAATTTGCAGAAACCAAGGCATCCTCCATTGAAAGCTATGTCCAAAGACTGAGAGGCAATGGAACCTGTGTGCTAAGCCAGCAGAAAACAGTCAGACCAGATGTTGAAGACCCCTTTGCTGGATGGTTGATAGAGGTGGTGATGACAGATGATGACGATGAATACAGACACCACGATGAAGAAGAAGAAGATGATGATGATGATGATGATGCAGATGATGGTTATGATGATGGTGATGA